TTTTGGATAATAATCACTTTGTGTTGCCAAAGTCAAGATGGGGGAAGAAAGCTCAAGAAAATTCTTTCATGTAATTGTAACAGTTGTTCTTTTTCGCCAATTCCTCTGGTTATATCCTTCATCATATTAATCATGTAAGCTGCCAAACCTTTCTGCATACATACACCATATAGTATATACTGATTATTGGTTCTCTATACTGTTGCAACATGTGCATGGTTGATCTACTTGACAAAATAGAGAGGCACACCTGTGTAATCTTATGTAAACTGGTTTTGAAACATACAACAAAAAGATTTCAATTTATATACACTTAATGTAAAATAGATTTATGTAGGTATCTGATAAAATTTCGTTATATTGCCATGTTAGTGTAGTTTTAAAAGACTGAGAATACGAAGAAAATAATTTGCTGAAGCATGCAAGAGCACTATCTTTGTTAATGTATCTGCAATATATGGCGCAAGTCTTACTAGACATAACAGGATCCTCTTGAGTGGTATATTGAAATAATAAATCGGCTGAGAATCTAAGCGAGTCTAAGTCTCATATTAGATAAAAATAAGAAAGTTGATACATAAGAAAGAAGACTCATTAACCTAAGACTCATATTAGATAAAAATAAGAAAGTTGATACATAAGAAAGAAGACTCATTAACCTATTATTTTAAAGTTTTGAGTTGAAAGTGTTGTTAATCTCTTATATGAGTTGGGCACAAATCACATATCAAGAATCACCATTTAAGAAAGAAGAGTCATAAACTTATGTCTTAAGGTTTTAGATTGAAAGTGATGTTAATCTTTTATGTGAGTTGAGCTCAGATCACATATCATGGAGGAGAGGAGAAAAAACATTGTGAATTTTAGAAAAGGGAAACATATTGATTTGTAAGCACTTAAAACAAGTTAAATGAAGACATGAGACTTTTGCCTTTTGGGATACTTAAAACATGTTAGTTATTTCTTTATGATGATACGGTAGATAAGGTGATTTTTATTGAATGTGTCAAAATGTTTTACACTAACAACATAAATGCAAAGGAAAATGATCTTTACTATTACACATCAGATAATGGAAAATGGTGGTTTTATAGGGTTTCTAGTGTGGTAGTTTATGTTGGGAGTGCAAACTTCAATTTTCAAGCAAGGACTTCAGTTAATGTTATAGCCAAGATAGCAGATGATGCAGCAGCAATCGTACACGATGCATCAACAGTATTAAAAGACCTTCAAAAACAATTGGAATCAGGTATTACTGCTGACGTTATTACAAAACTTAACTCTACAGCCAAGAGAATGGATAAGGCTGTTGATGAAATTTTAAAGAAAACTTGGAAACATAGGCGCACCGTTAACAAGACTTTCAGAGTAGTGTAAGAATTTTAGGCCATTTATTTTCATTTTGAAAACATGTAAGTATATTCTTGATTTCATGAAAATGATTGGTTGCTTTTAACTTCAGGCTTACAATCACCATTCTGATCATAACCTGGAATTTAGTTGCCGTACCAATTTTGTCAGGTATGTCTAACTGGTAAACAATGATATGATGATACATAACATTCAGGTCAAGACTGGTTTCTGAGCTAATAACTCAAAAAGCTTATAAACTAACTAGTTGAATTAGAAATTTTGATAAACAAGGCATGATTCTCTAACATGTTGGAACTTTCTGTTGAACAGTTTTTGGAGTAAAGATGTTTTGGAGGCCATTTTTCGTGTAGGTAAACTAAATTGTCTTTGCTTGGAACTAACATTTTCATCCATGAATTACTGGTTCTTTATTTTCTCCTCTGATCTTCTCTCAGATTTGTTATACTGTGCTGGCTGATGACAGTGATATGCTGGCTAATCTTCGGATTATATTTCTTATTGGAAAAGTATAACCAAATTCTTTCTATGTTGTGTTTATTTTCTAGTTATATCAATATTTTTCCTGCTATAAAAAAGTTTAGTGGGGATGAAGATTGAGTTTAATAGCTAAATGACTTATCCTATTCTTCAGTTTTTCTCAAGATACCTGCATAGTTCTTAAGAACTTCGAAGAAAATCCCTACAACGCCACCCTGAGCTCTGCTCTCCCTTGTGCTAAGCTGCTCTCAGCAAAAACATTTCTGCATAAAATTGCTGCAGGGATCTCCCAAATAGTATATGAGGTAACCTTTGCATAGTCTCAAACATGAATTTCTTCTTGAGAATTGCTAGCAGCAAATACTCTCTATCCTTCTGAGACACATTATCATTGGTTAAAATTTAGTAAAAACTATAAAATGAGAAGAATCTGCAAGTAAACACTGTGATCTAAAAAGAATTTGTAAGTTTCATATTTCGTGTTATAAGCTGAAAATGATTTAATGTTATTACTCTTTGGCTAAACTCTAGGTGAATACAAAGCCGGGGTCTTTGCTTCCAAAAGGTGTTGTTCTGTGCAATCCTTTCTCAGCACCACCTGAATATTTGTATCAGCCAGAAATGTGCCAACCTGGTACTGTTAAAATAGGAGATATACCAAAGGTATGATACAAATAAGGGAATCACTGACACTAAGTCTCTTCCATAAATTTTACAGTTATTCTACTTTTGTTATCTGTGATTACTATCACTTCCCTAATGTTGTTTTGTAGGTTTTGAAGCATTATACTTGTGTTAGTGATAATAAAAAGAAATGTACGAGCAGTAAAGATTCCATGAATGTTGGTGAATATAGTTTACTTGAGACTTACACAACTTTACTTCAGAGTATACTGAATCTGTATCCTAGAATGGAACAGTTGATAGAATGCCAGTTGGTAAAAGATGCACTGTCTCAGATCATTCTCAAACACTGCAAGCCTTTGAAGAAATTTTCTCGGATGACATGGATAGCAGTGATGTTTCTTGCAGTGTTCATGGTGTTTTTTCTTGTGATGTGGTTAATAAGGGCTTGCCAAGACCATAGTCGTCGTCATCGTTCAGATTGTCCTGTGTAACACTGTCTTTTCATGGCAATACTGAGAATTTGTAGCAGATTAAGATATTAATCACAATTAATCAAGAATCTCTTAGTCATACTCTAACACTGTCTTGACATGGCAATACTGAGAATTTGTAGCAGATTAAGATATTAATCACAATTAATCAAGAATCTCTTAGTCATACTCTAACACTGTCTTGACATGGCAATACTCAGAATTTTGAGCAGATTAAGAGATTACTCACAATCAGTCAAAATCTCTTAATCATGGCTCTAACACTGTCTTGACATGGCAATACTCAGAATTTTGAGCAGATTAAGAGATTACTCACAATCAGTCAAAATCTCTTAATCATGGTCTATTTAGTGTAGAAAAAATTAGCAAATGTCAAGTTTCAAAGAACTGAACAGAGGAATGAGGTGTAGACCTTTACAAAAAGTAATCAAGCTTTTGTGTCTCTTTTCTTCTTTTTTTTTTCTTTTGTAAAGATATATGGAGAGGGTAAAAACCTTTTGAACATTCTTGGTAGACAATTTTCTTACACAAATTGGTTTAACTTTCCTTAGAAAATATTGAATATGAAGTTAAGGAAGTGAAAGTGGTGGAATGATGTTGGAATATAAACCCTATTGCTTCTTATCTTTATTCTTTTATAGTGGAAATACATTGATATATGTATATATATATATATATATATATATATATATATTAATAAATTGTATTTAAATGTATTATTTTTTTATCCTCTATAGATATTGCTGCACAATAATAGAATTTTAGATTTTTTTTATCCATACATAAAAGTTATTCAATTAGTAGAATATTTACTAATAGCATTTAAATTAAGTTTTTATTAATTAAATAATTCTATATTTTTTAAGTATAAATTCTTTCATTGCATGAAATAAAACAATGTTGCTGAATAAATAATATATAAATAAATAAAATTATTATATTTTAAAATTTAAGATTAAATATGTTTTATTCTTAAATTATTATGTTTTTTTCAAATTTCAATGCATCTAAAGTTAAAATAAATGGATGAAAGTATTTTTCAGTTCCGATTATGGATATCATATTGTCTACTCGTTATTATTCTGAAGTTCGGGTTGGTCATTTTTTCATGTCTATAGGATACAAAATTTGTAGAGTCTGTAGTGTCAATACTGATTATGTAGACTTGCATCAGATTTATAACTAACAAATTTATAACTAACGATATTTATGGTGAGGTACATCGTGTTCTAACCATATTTATAACTAACAAATTCAAACAAACATTAAAAATAATACACATAAAAAATAAATAAATTTAGAAGAAAAAAAACAAAAAAATAACAAACAAAATAAATAAAATAAAATGAAAATTAACAAAACCATAAATCATTAAAAATAATAAACTAAAAAACAAACACATAAAAAATAATTAAATTTTGAGACAATAATAAACAAACAACAAACAAAAATAAATAAAATAAAATAAAAACTAACAAAGTCATAAGCCATTAAAAGTAAATTAAAAAATATAGAAAAATATAAAAAATAAAAACCATACTTCAAAATCTGTTACATTCCTTAATTGGATTTGGAAGATGCTTAAAAAAATATTTTTAAAATAAATACATAATCTCGTCTAGTCTTTAATTTTGTATTTTTAATTAGCTTTTGTAATTTAAAAAAAATATTTTAAGTAAAATTTGTTATGATTAAATTTATCAAATATCAAAATAGGTTAAAAACATAATTTTAGTTTTTATATATTTTGAGATTTATTAGTATAATTGTACTTTAAGTTGAAATTTATAATATAAAAATAAATTGATTAAAGTTTGATGATCCTTTAAAAATAATAAAAAATAAAAATTAATCAAAAAACATAAATGAATCTAAAGATTGTAAGACTTAAAAAGAAGCATGAAAAAAAGTGAAAAAATTTGAATAAGATAAGGAGGAAACGAAAAAAAAATTTGGGAAGGCAAAAGAAAAAATGGAGATGCAGAGACAAAGCCCCAGAATTTTGTATTTCTCAATTTCCTAACCTAGCCGTAGTTTCTACTATTGCGTTATTCTCTCTTTCTATAAACATTTTTTTTTTATTTCCTCGGAACGAATAATTTTCAAATGCCTCGTTACAAGGACGAGTCCCCTGCAGTTCGGGTTTACACTGTCTGTGATGAATCCAGGTCCCCTTTTTTATTCTTTCCTCAATTCAATTTTGTTTTTTTAGTGATAGAAAAATGAATTGTTTGGTTTGGAGGGTGCAGATATTTGATTGTGAGGAACGTTCCAGAATTAGGATGTGGGGATGATTTGCTGCAACTTTTTTCATCCTATGGAGAAGTCGAGGAGTAAATTCATTCATCACTTCCCAATTTGTGTATTCATTCGGTTTATTTCTTTTATTGTTTATCTCCATCAATCTATTTGAGTTTTTTCCTCTGCAGGTGTAAGCCCATGGATGCAGAAGACTGTGAGAAATACACTGATGTCTATTGGATCAAATTCCGCCTTGTCAGCAATGCTAGGTTTCATTTTTTCTCTATTGGCTGATGGAGGAGTTGTGTTATATAATAGCAACAAACTATTATCAAAACTCGAAACCAGTGTTGTTAAATTGCGGTGCAATGGCAAGATTGAATTGCAGATAGAATACAGCAGTTCAACCATTTTTTGCAACTTGTGGTTGTTAAGACTGTTTATAACTTTATTAAAATTCAAGAGAAGCGTACTAAATTGCTGGAGCTTATTTTTTTTCAGTGGAATCAGTGTGCAATTTTAATAACGAGAGCTTTGAGAATAAAAATAAAAATGTGTTAGAGGAGTATGATATTAGCTTTTCTTAATGTTATATTTGAGAAGGTTTTGAATTGAGGGAGTACCTGCTATCTATAATTTTCAGGTTTGCAAAAAGAAAATTGGATGATTTTGTTTTCTTCGGGAATAAACTGCAGGTTTCATATGCCCCCCAATTCGAGAGCCTATCAGACACACAAGATAAATTAGAGGGAAGAAGAAGGGAGGTTTTAGCGCGATTGAACCGTAAGTTAGAGCAGTTCCGTGGTAGCACACTACACAGTACACATAAATGCTTGTTATATGAATAGTTGTTGTAATCACAATTTTAAACTTGTACATTCCCTCTGACAGCAGCTAAAAGATCTAAAGAGACTCTAGCCACAAGCTCTAAAGAGACCCCAGCCACAAGCTCTGATGCTATGATTACATCAAATGTCATTAGTGCACAGCATTTAGATTCTAATGCTTGGTAATTTATTCTTTCTGTGCTCTGCAATTCGTAGAATTCACCTGAAGCAAGGCAACATTTGTAATTGTTTCTCTTTTTCAACTATAGGGATGTAGAATTCAAAGGAGGTTCACGCAGTAATTTTCCAACAAGGATTTCCTCTAATGAGGTTTGTTGCTTCTTTTTATATGCACATTCAAAGTTTACGCTAGTCTTCTTACTCTCTCCCCTTTGAATTGACGGAAATTTTTTGGGTGGGGAATGAATAACTGTTAGCTATTATTCAGAAGTTTTTGAGTTTCTTATCTTTCTTATCTAGATCAATCAGAAGACACCTATATGCAGTTGTATTTTTCAAATGTTCAGATTCATCATTTCTCTAATGGATGTTATTTTTACAGTTATTAGCTTTATTGCAATATGATAGGGCCTTGATTGGTGGATCTGATATTATAGTTTCCCAAACTATTATACTTAATAAATTTGCTCTAAGACGTTATGTGCTAAAAAAAATGGACACTTGCTTTTCGTATATTACCTCATCCTAACATGTTATATTTCCAGGATTATTTTGCTTCACAGTCCATGAATCGAACAGTAAATTTTGTACGGAATAAGCTTGATAAGGTGATGTCTCCTACTTCATAGTAAGTTTAAGAATCATTTATTGTGCTGAGGTTTGAAATAGTTTCTTCATCTAATCTAGATTCGATCAAGTGGTGAGCATACACAAGCTGGATCCGCGTCCAAGAAACAGCGGGTTGATAATAGGAGGAGAATATAATCTGTAAATTAAGATGTTCTTTTTTTCTCACCCACTCTGCTTGAAGTCACCGAGCTATATGATTTTGGGTGTATTTAAGCTCAATTCCTTAGCCTTTAGTGAAAATTTTGACAAGTGCAATCTAAGGACTGTCTCATCCAATTATATTGTGGTTCATATACTCTGTACCAAGATTTATTTATTTTTCAATGTAAGTAGTACTACATCTGCTATCTATCCAGGTAACAGTACTAGAAGACTTCAAAATCCCCATTCAGCATGCAATTTGTTTGCTAAGGTATTTGGTAACCAAGCCCCGCCTTCTTATAGGAAACCTTATACTGAAATCACATTTTAATATTGGAATTATAGTTGCAAATAAGGTTTCTATTTGGATTAGTGCCAGTTACTTAATGCGTTGATGATGCACTGATTATGTAGCCACAGCCCAACTGATGATACTCCTATGACATTGGTGGGTGCTGAACCAAACATTTCAGTTTCCCGTGTATGTTTGACCCACCTACTAAAAAATTCACCGTTCTCTTTAGATTTGTCACAAAGTATCCTAGCTTCCTAGGGTTGACATAGAACTCCGACTACATTACAGGGTAATTTTCTGAACCTGAAGAATATAGCGAGATTTTAATCCTCTTAGAGTCTTCATTTTAGAATAGAGTATGTTTGTAGCTTTAATTGTTGGGAAAAGGACACTCTCTTTTTGTAAGATTTAATGGAATCAAATGCTAGGCACGGGAAAGTGCTGTGTGTATCTGATTCATTGCTGGCAGTTTCATCAGTACAGCAACCCCTGAACCCGTGTCATAAATATGTCACTCTCATAACTTGGGAGATAAATGTGGTTCATCTCAGAAAGACAAGGTGGGGACAAATTCTGGAGTTCATTTTCAGAGTTGAAATTGAAATCATACCGTCGCAGGTACTAAGCATGCTAGAAGCCAATTTTAGGGGAGTTCTCTTCTTGACATTGTAACTTTTTGTCGTTTGTTATCCTCAGTTACCAAATAATAACAATGTAAAAATTTACCCTTCTGGTTTTTTTTTTTGGTATTATCTGAAACATTCTGGTTTGTTATGTTATTATATGAACAAAAGAAAGTGAGCACGTATTTCGTTAAATCTCAGAAGATATTAATATATTCTTATTTTTAGTCAACTGTCATCATCATGTATGGTGGTTGAGTTACCTTTTCATTTTTCTGTGTAACTTCCCTGGTTGGAAGAGTGTCAAGGATCTAATTGTTTGCATTTCAAAATCTCCTTTCTTCAAAGGATAGAAAAATCTGCATCCATCCATCCATCCATCATGCATATGAATTTAGTTTTGCAGAATGTTAACTGGAGTAGGGTGAATAGACGTAGGAAAGTATGCCATCTTCATGTGTCTAAGAAACAAATTAGCTCTAAATCACACCATTCAAACAAAACATCTATTTTAAATATCCTTGTGATAGTTAATGTAACTAATTAAATCTTAGGTGTGATAAAATCAATGGAAAAAAAGAGAGAGAGAAAGTTCTGTATGGAGTTACATAGTTGAAAACAGTAGGTAGCAGGTGGCATGCACACATTCATGTTATTATTCTATGACGTGGAAAACGTGGATTTGAAGTTTTACTGCTTTTAGGTTTCAGTTGCAAATATCTTGATATTAAATTTCATTTTACAGTCAACTTATTTTGTTTATAGGGTAGTTGTAATACGTGTTGATGTTCCCAAAGAACATATATTACTTGTTTTCCCATCATTGTTATATGCTCTTAAATCACGTGAATTTTTGTCTCTTTCTTAAATGTGATGCTTGTATATCTCGATGAAGTAAGAAAACATTTTATATTGATTAAAAAAATTTTAAAAAAATTATCAAATGCTAAAATTTAAACCAGATGTCAGCCTTCAAACATAAATTTACTTTGAATGTATTAATATTTAAAAAAATATATTATCATTCAATCATAAATCATCATACATAATAAATTTAGTTGATTTTTATGTATAGTAATAACAATTAGAAACAATATTTAAAATTACTTCTAACTAATTAAAAGTATACAAATATTTACAAAACATTCTCTCCTGTTAAGAATATTAATTATTTATTTAAGACAGTTCATGATGAATAATCTAGCGACAATAGGCTGAACAGAAGATTATATAAATGCGAAACAAATATTCTCAATTTTATATACTTATTAAATAAAAAACATGCGAAAAAAAATCTTGTGACAAATATACATACATTGTGAATTACCATTAAAAGATTAATTATGTGCATTTAGCTCTATTTGAGATTTTGAGCAGTCTTAGTGGCCATATCAAATTTTTTGATTAAATATGCTAGTATTTAATTAAAGTGATTTAAATCTTACATATTATTTAACTATTACTACAATATAATAAATAAATAAAATGTATTTATTCTTATTCAAAGTATATCAAATGAAACAAAATAAAGGACTGAACTATAGAACAACATCATGTTGGGTTCTGAATTGGAACTTTGAAATCTTAAAAAATTAAATTGGAAAAAACCTCTTGAATAATCTTTAGTTGAGTCCATTGGAAATCAAGTTTTGTTTCATTTTGATCTTTAAATTGAAACTAAAACAGCAGATAATAGACAATTACTTGTAAAAAATAAAATACGTTAAAATCTAAGTTCATGAACTTTGTGAAATTTGGCGGTTTCACGTGGAACACTCAAATACGATGATGATGGCTTTAATTTGATCCGACTGTAAGAGTCCAAAATGACTCATTAAAGCGTGTTACCTATGCGTCGGTGTGTGCTCTGGACCCATCTTTCCTTTTCACCAATACCTAACCAACTCACATAAATCAATAAATCCTAATTCTTTTTAATAGAATTAATATTTTAATTATATCTCTGTTTTTTAATTTTGATGGTTGAATAAATTATTTGGAAACCTAAAGCAATCATACACAACTTTTTCCCCAACTTATTTAATAAGAGGCTTATTTTATTAATCATATTGTTGACTATAACTTTTGATATATAATAACAATCAGACACATTCATTCATGTTGTCAACCGACTAAATTAAAAAAAAAATAATACTATCACACCATCTTATCAACAATAAAATAAGATATTTATTTTATTTTTTAAAAGATGAATAAAATTAAAATTTAACAATTTTTTTATTAGGAATAATTAAACTTATGAGTAGAGGTAGAAACGGGTTGAGCAAATATGGATAGTGTTTTGTTTGCTATTTATGTCATTAGAAAATGTTAGTTCCTTACTTGTTATATTTTTCGTATTTGAAAACAAATATTCACAAGTTTATAAATATTTATGTGTTTTCTTTTAATTTTAAATAAAATTATTTTAAAAAGTTCTTAAAATATAATTTTGAATGAAAAAATAATTTTAAAGTATAACTCAAATAAAATTATATACAAAAATAAAAAATGATTTATTTATATAAGATAAAATGTTGTTATATATAAGAGTGTATGATGTCTAGTACCATAATGTCTTACTAATACATTAATTCATAAAATATAAAATGATAATTTGTTAACCAATTAAGTGATGATTAATATAAGCTAATTGAAGCTTTAAGAACAGATGATTTATTTTTTTTATAAGGAAAGATTGTTGATGACGCGAAGATCCATGTTGGTGAGAAAAGTTGAGATTATGTGACTTACTTTTGGATTCTTGTAATTATTTAAAACCAGCATTTATCTTTAATTGCTTTTGGATAATCATGTCTTCTTCTAATGAGTGTACCGTGGAAGCTTAAACTTTATACTTTTCCTATAATTAACTTTTGATTAGAACAACTAATAACTGCAACTACCTCTTCACCTAAAAAAGTAATTGCAACTACTTTAACTATTTTACAAATTGTTTATACATTTCCACTCAAATATGTCTAATTTTATTGGATTAGGAATCATTAACAATCAATCACTAACACTAATCTAAATCTACAGCTCTACTAAATCAATGGTTAGGTTTTTTTTCCCAACTCTATTAGTATTATTAGAATTAGTGAACATAGAAAGTTCTAGATTTTAAAAAATTACATAGTAGATAATAAATTAGGGTTAAATATATTTTTCGTCCCTTAAGTATCACACGATTTTGGATTTAGTTTCTACTCGAAATATATTTTCGATAATTTTAAAAATATAATAAAATGTCTTAAAAAAATAGTTATTGTTATGTGCTCTTATCAAATTTGAGTAGATAGTCATAAAGTTATACCTATCTAAGATTGATTCTCTTAATTTGAAAAAAAAAATCATAATAGAATCAAATCTAACTCAGTTAATGTGAGTAAAGAAAGGCTAAATGTGTCAACTCTACGGGGCTATGATAATTTTCTAAATATGATAAAAGTGTGTTTTGTTTCATCATTTTAACATTTTAAATGTTTTTTTTATTATTTCTTTACGCTATTTCAAGTTACATATTAAAATTTATTTATATATTTATCTTAATTTCGCATCAACTTTAAAAATAGTTTTTTAATAACCCAAAAAAAAACAAGGGAAAAACACATTTGAGTAAATTGTTTATTTAAGGAAAACATTTTAAACAAATAGAAAAAATAAATTTAATTCCGTTTTTTAAGTTTAATTTGTGTACAACTTAGGTCTTCTAATTTTTTAATTAATTTATTAAGGAGTTTTCCATTTTTGAACTTCACTTCAAAATTAATGCAAAGCAAACTAGTTTATATAATCTCATTTATTAGTGTTTTTTTTATCAAGATTTTTTCTAGATTTATTATACTACTAGCTAAGTACTATTGATCAAACGAGTTTTATATAGATTGAAAATCAAATACAAATTTTTTATATAAATTATTTTCGCAATATATTTACTTAATTGTGTACCAATTAGGTCAACCATGAGATACACTTGCTAGTGTTTGCAATAAAAATAATATTTTTAAACTGTATTATTGGTATTTTATATACTTTTATATTCTATTTATGTAGATATATATTGATTAGGTTGTTGGGTCGACTCATAATGTTATCACATGTTTTGTTTCATAGTTTTAAAAAAATGAAAAATAAATACCCCTGCTAAAAAAATATATTATAGTTTTGTTTTACTGTCTCACGATGAAGCATAACTAAATGTAATTTTACTGAAAATACAAACAATTGAAAAAAAAACAGAGGAAATAAATAAAAACGCCACTTAAGAAAAAATAAAATAAATTTTAAAATGAATTAAAAATAATAATTTAGAAAACTATAACTAGGAATTTATACAAATTAATCTATAAACTAATTTTAATTTAAAAAATAGTTTTTCTACATTTCTGTCCTAAGAAGAAAACCCCATGCATATTTTCAGCAGCCTTAAGAAACATTACATCCAATTATATATATATATATATATATAT